AATGAAAATACATACAAAATCTCTTAGTTTTCACAACAAATTAGTTCTCCATTTTTAATATATTTGTTTTATTTTAATAAATTTAAGTTAAACAAACAATTAACTCAATTAATATTAATTTTATCATTAAACCAACATCTTTTAAAGGAAGTTTATCCTGCATCAACGTTCTGACTAACTAAATAATACCCTTTCCTAACCTAAGGGTAAGTGAAAAGTGTCGTGCACCACCCACACATCCACACATCCACACCCATTGCCCACTCACCCACTCACCCACTTCAGTGGCACTTGCCACCGCTTTGCCAGCCATTGTCGTTCCACTTTAGAATTATTTGCACAAAATCTTTCAGCGGCAGCAAGGATTTCTCGCTCCTGTGCTCCTTGAGCTTCCGTCGACCAAGTTGCTTCATAATTGTCCTTCCTCTTTCGAGGGGGCCGTGGCTGTGGGTGGTTGGGTAGCCAAGTGGGCGGCCGTGGTGCTGGTGTCGTTGCTTAGCGGTCTTGCAACTTGAACGCCTTTCGTTGCCTCTAACTACGGAGGAAAATAAAAATATATGGTACATAGTACACAGGAAATTTAAAAACATTTTTTAATAGTTAACTTTTTTGTTCCTTAAAAACTTAAAAAACTTGTTTGGAATTTTAGTGTTAATTTAAGTTAAAATTTAATATAAAGTATAGAAAATAGACAAATCTTTAACTGATTGATATTAAAAAGGAAAAATAATTGCATTTAAAAATTCTTTTTAATTATTTAAATTTCTTTTCTTTACCTTTAAATACCATTTACCACTTTTTTCTCTCTGTGTAGAAAGCAAGAAAGCCAAGGAAAATGGAAGTGGAAAGTAAAAATCGTTATTTTCCTGCAGTTTTTTGCTTTCTTTTTTGCTTTATTTCCCTCTCAGTTCTCATTATTATTTACCCTCTTTGGTGACGCCGCTGGGCATTTTTGGTTTATCGTTTTAATTGGCTTGGTTTCTTTGGCAGGGGAGGCCTTTGCAGGAGGGGTTTTCGAGGGAGCATTGGGAGAGGGGGCGTGGGCAGGGAGGCTTGTAGTGCGAAAGGGTGTCATCGATAAGCTCCACGAGTGTGTCAGAGTGTTCGGCTAATGATAAGCACACAGAACTTATTCAAACTGGCAACAATGCCGCACATGCGGAAATCTACTAATTGGGGGCAAATTAGTTACAAAAAGAAAGAGGGTTGCGCTATGAGAGCCATGGGCTGCAAGGTATTTACATTTGTGAAGTATCGAATTTCGGTTCTGTAAATGAACCACAAAATAAAGAGTCTATATTTGTCCATAGAACAATATTTTGTGATCAAAAACAAAAGATTAAAAATATAAGGAAATACATACTGTACATCCCTAAGACTGTAAGACTGTACTTTCTAGTATAGCTAATATCTTTTGGGTTATCATATAGATGAGAGTTACTTTTGGATAAAGCTCTCATGTACTAGCATAATGCTAGAACAACATATTTGTTTTGAAAAGCCTATAAAATAGTTTAATAAAAGGTTCTTTTCAACATTCATTTTATTTCCCTTTTTTATAATTGAACCTTTGTTATTATTTAGAACATCTTAACTTATTTGAATGCCTAACATTTTGTTATTAAAAATATCTCATTATATATTCGTCTAAGCAGTTGTGTTTTAATTGATTTAGATTATCATAAATCGCATACCTATTGATATTGTACTCGTATAATATTATATATATTTTAGATATTGGTTGTCAAAAAAGTCTTGCGGTATTTTCGCTAGTTGGCGCTGAAAGCGCGTAGTTCTTGTTTTATTCGTCGCATCAGGTCATAAATGATACCTTTTAGGAAAGCTCATTTGACGCGTTAACACGAGTTTGATTGATTGTCTTTTCTTTTAAGTCGTTCGTGAGTTATAGAGTCGCAATCATGGAGCAAAATAAAGAGAAAATACGGCATATTTTGCAGTACTACTACGATAAAGGCAAAAATGCCTCTCAAGCCGCCAATAAAATTAGTGCAGTTTATGGACCCGATACAGTTTCCATTTCCACCGCACAACGATGGTATCAACGTTTTCGTTCCGGTGTAGAGGTGGTCGAAGATGCGCCACGCTCCGAGTTTCTTGCCAATAGGGAAGCGAGCTTCTATGAGAGGGGCATTATGAAGTTGGTATGGAACAAAACGGCGCAGATTTGACTTGAATCGCATTATTATAACCAATTTTAAACCGCAAGACTTTTTTGACATAACAGAGCAAAATATCAAAAGATATTTTGAAGATATTTTGAGTATAAGCCATATGTTTTATTATTTTATACATTTTATTAAACAGAAACTACACCTTACCTACCTTAAGTATTAAGGCAATAGTATCCAAAGGCTTAAGCTTCATATATATATTAACATCCATATATTTATTTCTTTATTGTTTTTAATTAACTACAGCTGTTTCTGAGCGCTTTCGCTTGACAAAATAATGAGTTCGATTGCCTTTTTCCAATATTAAAAACTGAGTAATGGGAGTGGAAATGTGTTTTATTATTTAAGTAGTAATTTTGGAATATCAATATTAGTTCAGCACTTAAATTAAAATTAAAATAAATTTGATAAAAATGTATTGAAAAACACTTATAAGCCACTATTATGTTAAGTTTTTTAGACGTTGATTAAAGCTAATACAAAATTTTAAACATTTTATATTAGTTAAGAATATCTTTTGAAGGAGCTTCTGATATAGCTTTATATATTAGGAACATAGAGATATATAAAAAACTAAATGAAATATTTTAAGATAAATAAAAACAAATTTAAAAAAGTCTTCCAGTCTTCTACTCTTACTGACATTAGCTATGTCCTGAGTGCTTGCAATTAATAAATGCCTTGAGTGTCTCCTTAATATCCTTTAGCGGTGACTTCTTCTTTAGTTTTCCACCATTTTCCTTGTGGCCCCAACGGAATTTTCCAGCCGAATCGAATCCGCTGGCTGGCGAATTTGCGAGCGGCTTGGCAATCGAAATCCGCTCATTGGCTGCATCGACTCAAGCGGAACGCGTAGTTTTGGTTGGCTATCTAAGTGTGTGTGTGTGTGAGTGCGATTGCAATAGTGGTTGTGGTTACGCCTCTGTATGCGTGTGTGTGTATGTGTAAGCCGCCCTGTCCAATACAGATGCCTGATTAGAGGAGTTTTGATATAGTAATCGACCGCAGCGTGTAATAATTCCTGCGGTTTCATAATGCCCAACCACACACACACACACACACACACACATACACAGACAATCCTTGGTGGTGCGCAACCGCTGACACCAACACATGTACACCCATGCACCACCCCTTAACCCATGAACCGCACACACTTAACCCCCTTTTTTCGAAGAAACCGCAAAGCGAAGGAGGGTTGCAAAGGCCTACGAAATAATGTGAAAAACCAAAAAAACCAAAAATACCAAAAAAAAAAAGAAACGAAAAACCCAAGGAAGTATTTAGCACCGCCCTATAGGGACATTTTCGGTTTTTTTTTTTTTTTTTGCATTTGCGATGGGCGGGCGGCTGTGCCCCTGTGGTTGCGATTTTTCACTCATTCTTCGGCTTTTCTTGGCCGCAAATGGCAGCCGCAAGATATCGGCCCTCTTTTTCCCGCACACTGTAGCCATCTCTTTCGCGCTGGCTTACCAATTCCTGGTTTGCCACAAAGCCGCGTCTCCAACGCTTTGCTTTTGCTTTTCTTTTTTTTTTGTTTTGTGTGTTCAGCTGAGATGAGAGACTTTTTTTTGAGTTCTTTCCAAGACGAAATTCTTTCGGGGGTTGAAGCAAGAAAAATACAAAGCAAAAAAAAAGCGAAAAAGCGAAATGCAAAGAAAAGCCTGGGAAAAACTCAAGAAGTTCACCCGTCTCTTTCGGGCCCTCTACTTACCTCTCACTCTGGCCTTCGGCTTTTTTTTTTCCAGAGTGCGCCAAAAAATTGAGCGCAATTTTTCTAAGATCCGTGGTGGGTTGCCCTTTTCTCTTGGGAGGGGGGTGGTTGGTTGGTAAGTGGTGAGGTGGGCGATGCGGTAGGTGGTTCTACTCTACTCTGTCCAACTTGAAGACGTCGTTGCGGCCTTTCTGCTTGTGGTGTAGTTGACGTTTTCTGGTTTCGGTTTTCGGTTTTCGGTTTACTCTGCCCTTTGCCCCCCCATCTCTGCTGGCGTCGCTGCCAGCGTCGGCGTCAACGTCAACAGCGCTGCCAAGCGACAACCGCTGCTACTGGTTCTCGCGGTAAATGTTAAGCCAAAAAGAAGGAGAGGCGGCATCCAAGCATCTAGAACAACAACAACAGCCAAGAGAAGAGGGAAAAAAATCAAAGAAAGGACAACAGTCTAACCTCGTTAGGTTGAACATTGAGCTAGAGCAATGAGTAACTGGGTTGGACAGGTTGAATTTCAGCATTTAAGAGTCTTAAATAAACATAAATTGGATATTTTAAAATTATTCTTTCTTAAACTTTAACCGTGCGACCCTTCGTTATATTAGGTAAGTGTAATCTGTCTCAAAGGAGTAACATTCCCTATATATTGGTCATAAAAACCATCACAAAATGCATAAAGCCTATTAGCACCGCTCAGATCTCAGCATAGTCGTTCACTCTGTGGAGTCTCGACTGTATATACCCCCAACAGTTGAGTAAGAAGTCGACATAGACGTTCCCCTGGGGGCGGGGTGATGTTGCAGGGGGTGGCCGGGTGTCTGGAGTGCTTGGGAGGTGAGGTGGTCCTGTTTCTTTTCGCCTGTGATTATGATGAGGCGTCGCCAGCGCTCCTTCGTCCTTCGTCCTCAGTCCTTCGCTTCCTACTCTGGCGACTTCGTGAACGCGCTGCGTGAGACTTCGTTACTGTTGGATGCTGTGGACTCGTTCTATTCCAAAATGTCGAAGGGGGGAGCCCTCAGTTGGCTTCGCTGTCGCGGTTGACGTCGCTGCCGACGTCGGTGGTCGACGTTGCCAACCGCTCGTAGTGGTCGCGTTCATGGTTACCGCAAAAAAATAGTTTAATATCTCCGTGTCGTTTGATTCGATCGCCAGTCTCAGCCCCCGTCTATGTGCCCATGTGCCTGTGCCTCTGCATCTGCATCTGAGTCTGAGTCCCTGCATCTGTGTCTGTGCCAGTGCCAGTGCCGTGACAGTGCTTCTGTGTGCGTTTTCGTGTGTGCTTGTGTGTGTGTGCCGGTGGCTTAACCAAAATTACCACAATTAGAAAGCCCGAAATCGAAAAAGTCTGGCCCGAAATTTAATCATTTTTTTGAAGTGCTTGTGGTGTAATCATAACAAAGAAAGTCAGATTCAAATCCTCAAAGATCCAACTCGATTTGGTGTGCTGGGAGTTACTATAAACAAACTTACATAACTGGAGTAAAAGTAAGTGTTTTGTGAACACGATCGTGCTTAAAATGTGCTTTAGGTGATCAAAAATATATACAACTTCAGGTGCTAGGGGATATTAATAGGTCTTCTTAACTAAAGCATTAGGTGATCAGGAAACTAAAACCAATAAACTGGTTCTTAAACAAACTTAAACTCTTAACAAGATGATCGTTCATAAAAGTTAAAATATAAAAAATGTTTTTAATGATATATTCATTAAATGTGTTCCATCATTAAGCATTATAAGATTTCAATATTGTTTTTCACTTCATTTGCAAGTTGTAAAATATTTTTAATATCTTCCATTAACAGTGTTTTTAAAGGGTTTTTTTATACCACAAGATACTCTTATTATTTAGCTAAATACATATTTTAAATTTGATTTCCCAATGGAACATCTTTCAAATTTAATCACATTTTCAAACTGCATTTTAACCCATTCATTAATCATAAATTCCAAGTCAATTGTTTTGATTTTCTAAGCCGCACAATGCCGCATAAGTGCGCCTTTTTCCCACGGGTTAATTTACATTTGTTGGTCTAATTGTGTGGCTAGCCCCACGACCGACTTGTTTGTTAACCGATTATATAGACCGACTTCGGCGGTAGCCCCTGCCCCGCCCCCTTGTCCTCATCTGTGGCCACACATATGTCGCCACATAGTCGCTTGGCCAGCCCATTTGGTCGGACATCTGCCTTCGGCAGCGGGCAAAAAAATTGCATATAAAATATATATATATATATACTCATATCTATATACATACATATATGTAAATTCACACGTACGCATATGTATTCATTTCAGAGCGGAAGTTGTAAAAAACGCGTATACGCAGCGTATGCATATGTGTATAGATATATATCTTTAGGTCTGATTGTGTTTGTGCAACACTTGCTGCAACATCAAAAAACAAGAAGGAATTGCCAGGGGTTCTAATGAGCCAAACTCTTGAATACTCTTTATGCTGTTTTTTTTACTTTTTAAATGTTTAAAAATATTTGGAATTTATCGGTATTTTTAGCGTGAAATTTTAGAAATCTTTTGTCTTGGTAAATAATGAAATTTCTCTACCTTATCTTTGAAACCAATATGCACCTTTCTTTTATAAATATTTATAAAAATAAAGGTTATGTAATGTTATTTTTTTAGCAATATCAAAATTAAACTAGTTTTTAATTTTGTTTGTTATCCAAAATTGAGAATTCGTTAACTGCTATAACTTTTAGAGTCAGAAAAACGTTCTGTTGAAAGCATCCTGAAAATAGTTCGCGAGGGGAAAAAAAGGAATGAAACGGCAAAGTGAAAACAAAACGCGGCTGTGTCCGGCAACTGGTTTTTATTTAAACAAAAGCGACTGGCTGGGCATTGTTGATTTTTTGGTGGCCAAACACAAGCCGGCAACATCTGGCGCTTTCGATAATTTTTTCCCCGCTTTTCCGCACTTTATTTCGCCATTTGATGGGCATGAAATGGATTTTTTTTTTTGCCCGCCCACACACTGATGCAGTCGTTCATCTTAGTTTGGGCCCAGCCAACGGCTCGAAATTCCTCATTATTGGTTATGATTTTTTAATATTTAATTGGGCTGCACTCGCCGACGTCGGCTTAAATGCAAATTGTGCGCAAAGGTGTGCGGTTCACTGCGATTTCATTCGATTCCCATTCGATTCGATTCGATTCGCTTGGCTTCTGTTTGGTTTCCAGATAGCGATACTATACAGCAACAGTTTCTGTTTCTGTTTCTCATTCTGATTCTGAATCCGAATCTGGATCTGCTTTGTGTCCCCGACCACCCCCGCGGGGGTCAAAGTGCAATAATAATTGAGGTGTTGTCGCTGACGGCAATAAACAAAAAGTGCAGCATACTTATGCGGGCTGCAAACGGAAAAACAAAGAAGGACTACAACAAAAGCCTCGAAATCTGCTGCAAAAATTATCAGTGAATCAGTGTTCCAAAAAACCTTTTCGAAATAAAATATTTGAAATTAAAATATAACCAAGTGAGGCTTTGGAATGTGATTAATATTAGATGTTAGTGAAGGTTTATGATGGTTAAAATTGTAGAAATAAATATAAAATATATAAAAAATAAAATATTCATATTAAATCTTTGGTTTTCCCTTTTTTAAACATAAGTTTGTTTATCGAACTAACTTTCTTAAACGACTGTTAGTCTAGCTAATAATATGATTTGATTTTGTGTTTTTAATTTAAGAATAAAATATATTTCGAAAGAAAAAAGCTAAAATTAGTTAAACATATAGGAAACGCTTTTTTATTTAAATAAAAACATATTTATTTTTAAGAGAATTTATAACAAATTTATAGAGAGTTTCCTTTAAAGAACACCTTGGCCTGGCAGCATCAAAAAAAAAAAAAAGCCTTTGGCCATCCGAATTTCACTCGCAGTCCACATTAATTTTCCAGATTGACCAAATGAGCTGACAATGATCGGATTGAAAGCGTCGACTCTTTGAGGCAGGCATTGAAATCAAACCGAAAACCCACGAAACCCGCCGGCAACTGAATCCACTGAATACTGGCAGCCAAAGAGAGGCCCTGAAATACCTTCTGCCCAGCTAGCAGCTGCAATAATGCACATTTCTGCTGAGGTCAGTTCGACCACCTCAAATCAAATACAGCAACAGCAGCAGCACCAGCAGCAGCAACACCAACAGCAGCAACAGCAACACCAGCAGCAGCAACATCAGTCGTTGCAGCAACACCAACACCAGCAGCAGCAGCAACAACAACAGACAGCTACAACGACCACAACGAAGCGGCGAAATGCTGAGTCTTCCTCCAACAACAACAACAATACAAGCACCACCAATAACAACAATAGCAGCAGCAACAACAATAACAACAACAACAACACCAGCACCACCAACAATAATAACAATAATAATAATGTTAAAACAAAGCCCGTGGACACGAGTCCTTACTTGACCCCCGAGAATCTCATCGAGCGCACCGTCGACGTCCTGCTCGCCGAACATCCTGGCGAGCTGGTCAAGACGGGGTCACCGCATGTGGTGAGTAAAACTATCAAGGTTTTAAGCTACAAAAACTGAATAATCAGATATAGAGTGAGATTTTGTTGTTTTGGAAGTATTGATAGGCGGCAAACTTTTATTTTATTTTCGTCAAAAAGGGGTAAGAATAGCTTTCGAAGTACAAAATCCATAGCTATTTAGAGTCTTACTTCCGAAGATCTAAACAATCGGTTAAAAACCATATAACTTTGGCTTTTTCAGTTAAATAGGGATTATATTTGAATTTAGTAAAATAGGTAAGAAAGGGTTATGAAATCTAGTGACTTCCTATATCTTAAGAAAGAACTATTTTATTTTTTCATTTAATAAGAAAAATCCTGATTTTAATTTGGCTAAGAAGGAGCAAGAACTAAGTCTAAGGCATTCTTTTTATGGTTATATAAAAAGATATGATGTATGATGATGTACACTGATGGAAAAAATAATAGAAACGAATTTTGAATTTGGGTTTAAACACGTATTTTTAATAAGGAACGTGGTGATGAGTGGATATTTTAATTTTTTTTTGATTTATATACATCTATCTTAGATACTAAAAAACAAAAATGCATTTAACTTTATTCATTTAGCTAAAAAAATATATTTAAGTCAAATTTTATGTTTTTGACTTGGAAATAAAAATAGAAACGAAGTGACTTATCATCAACCAAATTGACTAGCTTAGCAAAATTAACCATGAAATGTTTTCAGGTTAAATATATTGTTGCATTACCATGATTTTTCAAAAATTCCGGGACACCTACGAGGCATAGACTCCACAGGATTGGAGCATATTGCTGGCTTAATGGAGTACCACTCCTCCGGGACTTTCTCCCACAAATGTTTCTTATTTTTTGGCCTAAAATCACTTAAACGTTTTTTAAGAATTCTCCTCAAATGCTCAATAGGGTTTAAGTCGGATGACTAAGCTGACCAATCCATAACGCCAACTTTATTGTCCAGGATCCCCTTTTTAGCAAGCTACGATGTGTCTTTGGGATCGTTATCCTTAATAATATCCCACTTCAAAGGCATTTCATCTTCGGCATATGTTAACATAACGTCCATCATGATGTTTAAATTGTCTGTAGCTCAGATATTGTCCTGCATCCAATATAGTGGACCAACACCTGAAGCAGAGGAACATCCCCATAGCATTCTATTGCTATGTTGATCTAACATGAAACCCATTTCACAGTTAAATGATGTTGATTTTTGATTTTTATTTATTTAAGGTTAACAATTGGGTAAAACTAAAAGCTTACACAGGGCTAGGAACAATAGCAGTTTAGGCATAATGCTAGCGGCTAAATTTAGTTTATAGCTTGGTTAATACTAACGAAAAACGATTTTCTTATAGATTATTTATTAATATATAGATTTCTTTTAATTATTATATACAGTGGATCCAAGCTTATATCGTGCAAGAAAAAATCGAATTTTTAATTTGATAGTGCTACTAAACGCAGTAATGTTAAGAATGTCGCATATTATTAAAATAATAACAAAAGTTTTCACTAATTTAAAAAACAAAAGAATTTTTCATACAAAAACTAAAAAACAGGGCAACTCCGACGCACAAGCTTATTTCGTGCAAGCACTTTAACGGTTAATAACTCTAAACTAGGACTTTTATATCCATTTTTTTTCTTAATACTAGTAAAAATATTTTAACAAAAGCATATTTATAAGTTTTCGAGGCTGGGGGTACCCAAAAATTACGGATTAACGAGGATTTTCAAACTATAGCGCCACGAACAACTATTGAGCAAAGCGAATTAGTCCTTAAACATTTTAAGTATGGGAAAACCCAGGAAATGGTTGTCTCAAGCCCTAGTACAGACATATTTTCCGTGAAGACAGCCAGAACAAAATGTATTAAAATATTAAATATTATATTATATAAGGAAGGAAACATTTTTTTTTAAATAAATTGATATGTGGTGATCAAATACTGTGATTTTAGGAATACTTGAAAAATCCTTAACAAAAAATCTTTTAGAAATTCTTTACATAGAGAAAGGAATATATTTATTAATAATGCTTAAAAACATAAATTGAAATAACAATCTATATAAAAATGAATCTAACCATGCATGTCCGCTATAGACGCCTTGTCCGATTTTTATTAAATTTGTTTTACGTTTTTAAGGGGGCTCCGGGCTTGTTTAGAAATCATAAACGAGGAAAATTCGCAAAAATTTAAAATTAGTAAAAAGTTGGCAGCTTTGATCAGTTATAGTTGGCAGCTCTGCCTCTTAACAGCTGATAGAGTATGTGGCAACTCTCTAGAAATTAAGCTGGCAGCCCTTTCTTAAACAGTTAGATTTGAGATTTTGTTTACTTTTTTGTTGAGATTATTTTTAATGTGATTTACTTAAGAATTTATCTAAATTGTGAAATTTATGTCATTTTTATATACAGATATAGATACTGCGGGTGCTCCTTCTCATTGAAAGGCAAGGTGCGATAGTATTTTCTAAATACTAAATAGGATCAGCTTATTATAATTTTATTTTGTTACTTTTTAATATAATACCAATAAGTTTGGTTACTAAAGTGTAGAAAACTCTTTTCTTTAAGCTGCCAAGAAAAATGTTTTATACTTACTGCAAGACTACATTAATTACTCTGTGAAATAGCTAAATCTCAAACCTATTAATAAGCTATAGGAAACTATTAATAAATCTAAAAAATCTTCACAGGTCTGCACCACATTGCCCACACACTGGCGCTCGAATAAAACCCTACCGATCGCCTTCAAGGTCCTGGCCTTGGGCGAGGTCATGGATGGCACCATAGTCACCATCAGAGCCGGAAACGATGAGAACTTCTGCGGGGAACTGAGGAACTGTACGGCCGTGATGAAGAATCAGGTGGCCAAGTTCAACGATCTGCGGTTTGTGGGCCGGAGCGGAAGGGGTGAGTACTCAAGGAGTATCTAAAATCTGTAAAGCCTTACAGGGAAAGATGGAAAATATTCCTGTTTTACGATAATCTCACTGCTATTATTCCGCCCTTAGCTGTTTAGAAGACTGTAAATAATATTAAAAACAGATTGAAAGAAGCCTTGTTGGGATCATTTATCTTTTTTTTTCACTTTTGGTCATTACCATTTGGCGTATCATTCGCGTTGATTGCTTGCTTCCTGTTCCCTGCATATATTGTCACACCCAAAAGAAGGACACCCCATGTGCCCAGAAGGAGAACCAGAAAAACACCAAAAAATACACACACAATCACTTGCCCATATAAGGGACACATCAAAAGCCGCTGACAAACTTTTGTAGCCAGCTTCCGGGCGCTTGGTTCTTGGTCTTTGGTCCTTGGTCCTTGGGCCTTGGTCCTTTTGGCGTGGCATCAACAAATAAGATAAGTAGTCTGTAGTTAATTTTTATATGTCTATTGGGGACATCCAGGGGCGTCGCATGAGAGGGGGCGGTGGTTGCCAGACGGCAGACAGTCTTGACAGTTGTCAATTTTGCTTGAGATTTTTTCTCGCCGCCGTTATTGCTGTTCATTTCGTCAATTTATCACGAACGCAATTTAAAAATCAAATCGAGGGTGACAGACAACATACTGTGATAGAATTTCCCTTCGCCGTCATTTTTCCTATTTTCTCTTCGTTTACCATTTCTTTTTTTTTTTTTTTTTTGTATTTTTTGTTGGCAAATTAAATCAGCGTAACTGTTTATTCAAAGCCCCGGCAACTTTTACTTTCGCCCAAGTTATCTTTCTTGGGGATTTTTCAGGGCATGTCTAAGTGCGCGCTTTGCCGCGGCATTTGACAATTTGCTCATTAAGTTTGTCTGACCCCTCGAAAAAAGCAGCGCGATTGGCGGCGGGCGGTGGAGGGCTAAGGTCTTCGGGGCACCCTCATCAGCTAACGTCTTTCAGCCAACCATCCAACCATCCATCCATCCATTCAGCCGTTCATCCATTTCGGCCAGCCTCTTGTTTGACATTTTTAAACGTTTCAAGTGGCAAATAATTCCTTGGGATTTACTTTGGCAAATCTTTTTTAAACATTTGATTATTCCAAGGCCCTTTTCCCTACTAATTATCGCCAGGAAAAAGTAGAAAATGTCCATGGAAAAAACTGCAAATCAGAAAAAAAAAAAGGGCGTGACAATTGCCAAAGGGCAGCATCAAATGTTTTACAAATGGATTTAAATTATTTAACCCGAAACGGGAACCCTTTTGCTGTTTTTTTTTTTTTTTTTTTTTCGTATATTTTTCTTTTTTGGATTCCCGAACCCTTCTCGTTTTAATGCGCTACAAAGGGATTACGTGGGTGGAAGTCTCGCTTCGTATTATTTGCTTAATTTCAATTAGCAAACAAATGCAAATCCCTTGTACTAGGGAAAAGTAATGCAAAGCCTGCAATTGTAATTGTTGTCCGTTGTATTTGCTACAACTAATGCCACTTGCAGTTGTCAAGGCTGCAGACGCTCCAGCGCCCTTCGGTATGCAGCGAATTTATGAGGGCCGCTAAGGGCAGCCGTGGGTGGGGCGTGGGCATGGGGTGTGCGTTGGGTTTTCAAATGGGGGTGGCATGTCGCTCTATTGATAGTCCTGTAAAAGAGCCTTTCATTATCGCAATTGCAAGGGATCACCGGCCATCGTGGCCGTGTTGGGGAAGCTTAAAGGGATTTTGAAACGAAGAAGGTAGGTAAGGCTATGAAGTTTATTAAAAAGGAACCCTTGGGTTTAACCTAATGTGAGAGAAAGTAGATTTTCTCTCATTCTTTACCATGGGTTTTAACCATCTTCCGACTTAGTATATCATTTTGTCATAGAAACTATTTCCCACCTTAGTAATACAGTTTAATACATTGATTTATCTAGAAATACCACTGTATTTTAGTGGTAATCCTCGCCGGTTCTTAGCTAAAAACCAATTCATTTTTTCGCCTGCCTGAAGCACTCGTAATTTTAATGATATGGACCACGCGGCGTATGCGTAATGCCGCTAGTGGTGATGGAAGGGGGGGGGGCGGGGTTGGAAGAGGTAGTGGAAAGGGGAGTGGCAACGCAATTAGATAAAATGGCGGCATCAGCAGCTGCAATCGCAATTGCAGCCGTGGAAATGTGTGGAAATGGGAAATGTAGAAAGGGGAAATGGGAAATGGGGAAATGGAACTGCAGTTGCAGCCAAGCGGAAACTGCATAATCCACACCCACACAGATGCACCCGCTCCCACACATATGCACAAATGCATTGGGCCTGCTGTTGTTGTCGACTAATGAATTACAATCACTTGGATGCCGTTTCGTCGAAAGAGATTTCTCTGGGCCTGGGCAGCAGGAGGGTTAAGGGTCAGGGGTCAGGGGTCTGGGGTCCAGCACATGTAATTATTGTTGCCATATGCATGTAAATGAGAGCTGCACACGGATGTGCAAGCACTTTGAAGTGCATTACCAAAGTGCAATGCAACATCTAAGCTGCAGATAATATGTTAATTAACTGCAAGTGATTATGGCCTCCTTATTCCACAGTTCCAAGGCCTCCCCCCCGGAAAGGGCCTTCAACGTGGCCTCGGTATTTTCGGGAGAGCTGTTAGCTGATTGTCAGCCAAATTTGTCAACTGCATTAGCTGATTGTCTGCCTGATCTATTGATTATGGTTTAAAATATCTAGAAATCAGATTTCCTTTTCAGTTTTTTCAATAATATTACTGTTTATTAAGCTGACAGTAAGCCTCTTTTTCTGGTTAACTTATCATAGTTTCATCCTCATTCTACCTGCTTTTAAGTCTTAAACTAAGTCAGACTTCAGTAAGTCAGTCAGTGAAACCAACTTAAAGTTATGAAAAACATATAAAAAATTCACAGGAAAATGGTACTCTGTTTAAGGTGCATATGCCAGTGGTCCATTGTTGCCTCTTGGTTTCCCTTTTGAGTTCCTCAGTTTCGCAGTTCCTGAGTTCCCGAGTTCCGCTCCTCAGTTGCAGCTTCTTTAAAGCTTCCGGCATCCATTAAACTTCATTAAAAATTAAATATGCGCTACAGCGTTGCCACCAGTAGCTGGCAGATGGAAAAAAACTCGAAAACTCAAAAGCAGACTTGGGCGCTTTGTGGGATTAGGGGCGTGGCACTGCCTCTTGACTGAGTAGAGGGCTAAAAAACCCTTTTCCAACTGACACGCATCAATTTACTACAGCAGCGCTGAGCTGTGCTCGAAAAATGCTCAAGACTTTTAATGAGATGAAGGTGAAATTTCATTATGAAGTTTGCCGCACTAAGATGAAGTAACCACCTTCCCCTCGCTTTGCCTTTGCCACTCCTTTTTTTAGCAAGGGGGTGTGGTTGCGAGCGGTAACCTCGTTAAGCTTAATTAATAGCAGCGATGTGATAAACACCCAGGCCAACAGCCAAAATGGTCGCACTAAGGCCGCCATTTTGAAACAAGGCCTCCTCTGGGAAATACACTTGGAGAAAATACTTTAATTTGTTTAAAAATTATGATAAAAGATATATCATTAGGGGTTTGTTCTTGGAAAATACTTGTAATACCTTGAAATCGAAGCTTACATATTTTAGTCCTGCAAAAATATGAAAAATTAGAAAGAATTTACCATAAAAATCTATAAAACAATAAAAACTTTCATTAAAAATATTATTTACAATAACAATTAATATTAAAAACTCACAAAAAATCTTCTTAATTCCTTAAATAAATAGTTAATAATAAAGAAATAAGTTTTTCCTAAACCCAAACCCTTTGTTAGATTAAAAACCTTTTCGGTTTCACAAAATTCATTAAAAGCTATCATTAAATTTTCCACTGTGCAGCAACCAACACTCGGAAAACTTTTGCCCAGGTGTCAGCAACAGTCCCAAAAGGCAACAACACAAACAACATCGACCGGGACAAGTTCGTTTTTTAATGAGCCAACGTCAACGTTGCCAACTCGCTGCTGCTGGCGTTGACATTTGACAGATTTCCTAGGAGCTGCCGCTTAGATACTTTCTGTACTTTCCGGACAGGGGGGATGGGGGCGGGGCAGTGGCAGCTTCTACTTATTTGGGCATTAGTCGTAGACTACCAAACCCCCCATCACCCACACTACCCTGAAAGCCACCCCAAGATGTCCTGCTCCACCCACCCAATGACCTAGCCAGCTGGGTATTTATATAGACTCTTGGGCAAAGATTCTTTCGGGCGACAGGCGACATCGTTAGGGGCATTATAGTCGAATGAATTTCAGCCTTGGCTACCTCTATTAACCTGACATCTTAAATTCAAGTTAGCGCCTCCTCAAACGGCCCCAAAATTCAATTCCAAACTGTGGATTTATTTTACGGGGTCTTTAAGAATGTAGAAAGCAGCTTTAATAGTTTGACTTGACTTTGGAGGTATAAATTTTAGGCGTTTTTCTTACTTAATAATGATTTAGGACAATTTGTAAGTTAGCTTGAATTGAAAATAATTTTCTTTTTATTTTATTTATAATTTATGGTCAAATAATCTTAGCCAGGCTTTCAGAGCTCAAAGGATACGAAAAGAGACTAGCCAATGTTTAGTTTTCTAAAAAATATTAAAAAAGTTTATTAAAGTAAATTAGAAATTAAAATGTTTAAAAAAGTATATTAAAGTATTTGAAATAGTTTAAGCTTCTTAATAAATAAGTTCATGGAACTTAAAAATTCATAAAAATATTTTTCTCAGAAATTCTTAGCTAAGTTCGTCATCGATTTAAGAAATAAATTTATAAAGATGGAGACGATGGCCATTATAGCTGGCATTCTTCTTTAGAATTATGCAATTACAACGTTAAAAAATAATATAATTTATATATTAAAAAAATAAAACAACTAATGCTTAATGATAATATAAGCTTTCTTGAAAACATTCCCCAAGAACTGATAGAAGCAGAACTGATAGAAGGAACTTAAAGCTTGAGACTAATCTAAGATTT